TTTTTTTTTTTTTTTTTTTAATTAAAATTCTGTCTTGGGGCATTCTGGTGGCTTAGTCGGTAGAACATGTGGCTCTTGATCTCAGGATTGTAAATTCAAGCCCCATGTTGGGTGTAGAGATTACTTTAAAAAATTAAAAACATTTTTATTTTATGTATTTTCATGTTAAGTGTACAAATTCCATTTATTACTGGAACTATAAATTGAGACCAGGCCTGCAGTTTCAAAGACTTAAGATTTCATTTGCTAGATCTGAATCTGAAAGCAGTGCCCACAGAAAACTAAGACTTAAATAAAACACAGTTGCTTTTCAGAAATCAAAATGCAACTTATAAAAGGTTTATAATTATATAACTTTGTAATAGGAAAGGGCTGAAACAAGAGACAATACTAAAAACTATAAAGGAAAAGATTAGGTTTGATTTCATCTAACTGGTTTGGTAGGATATATGCCAAACCTTTTTCAGTACATTTTAATAGATATTGGTAAAGAAATACATAATTTTGTTACATATAATTTTTTTTCCTAAGTTGCCTCATCAATGCATGCTTTTCTGCAACCAGCTTTTCTCATTTAGAAATGTGTTTTAGAGTTCTTGCATATCCACATAAAACTTACCCCTTTCTTTTTAAATGTTGCACCATATTGCAAACTATTATGTACCATGGCTTATAGAATCAGTCATTCCTCTTTCATGTACTTTTAGGTTACTTTCAATTTTTCATTACAATGAAGCATATCTTTATGTTTCTTTGTATTTATAAATGATTATTTCTTTAGATTAAATTCCCAGAAAAAATTTCTGAGTCAAAAGTTATGCACATGTAAAAGTTTGATAGATACAAGGTTGGCCGTTTAACTCAGCTGGTTAGAGTGTGGTGCTAAAAGTTTGATAGACACAGGTACTCTCCAAATCTAAACTGTACCAGTTTATGCTTCACTATCATATTTGAGAGTACCATTTCCTACTATTGCCAACAGCAGATAATTTCAATCTTTTAAATACTTGCTACTGGGGTGTCTGGGTGGCTCAGTCAGCCAAGTGTCTGACTCTTGATTTCAGCTCAGGTCAAGATCTCAATGATGAGATCAAGCCCCATGTCAGGTTCTGTGCTGAGCATGGAGCCTGCTTGGGATTCTCTTTCATACTCTCCCCCTCTGCCCCTCCCCCCCTCAAAAAAATTAATAAAACTTTAAAAATAAAAAATATTTGCTACTAACATGGGTAAAAAAAGGTTATACATTATAGTTTGTATGATTATAAATAAATATCAATAATGAAAGAATGCTAGAAAACTAAAGAGAAATGTGTCATTTGCTTTCAGGTCAGTGCTGACTGTTGCTTGTGAACAGACTGAAGTTCTGCTTTTTGACCCTATATCTTCAAAGCACATAAAAACACTTTCTGAAGCTCATGAAGACTGTGTAAATAATATCAGGTCAGTATTTTAGTGAAATAGTGAAGTTTATTAATGTGACCCAAAATATTCTGTTTTGGAAGTTAATGAAAATTGGTAATGTCTTGCCCAGCAGTGCTAGATGATATGCATTTGTGAACTGTGAATTTTATCCCTTGTGAAACTTATCCCTTTAATTATAAAACTTACTATTAACCATTTTGGATAAGAATTTTTCTGAAATGCATTTTTCACTTCCATATGATTTTATCTTTTCTCTTCATATATTAGGGTCATCATTATGAACCTCAGCCATGCATTACAATAGTCCTCCAATGTCTTTGGGCTAATGATCTGTGTAGAATTATGGCAATCCCATTACTTAGCCTCTCTCACCTATCCCCTCCCCATTCCTAACTATTGAGGGGGAAAAACACATTTGCACAGAGAACTTCTTTATAAAAGCATGTTGGAAGCTCCTTAAATTCTTAATAATGTGGGAAGTAAATAACAGTTGAACAGCTTGGTGGATTAATATGCAGTCATTAAAATGATGGTCATAGGGACTACATATCAACATGGACAAATGCTTGGGACAATATAGGTAAAAATCATGATAAAAGTTGTTAAAAATATGAAATGCAGAAGATAAGGAAATATTTTTCAATGCTAACATAGGATGGGTTAGAATGAATGGATAATGAGTAATTTTCTGTTTTCTAAACATTATGTAATAAGATTATATTCCCTTTATAACGATTACTGTTACTGTTCAAAAAAAAAAACCGTGGAAATTGCTTCTAGTCACAGTGACTTACTGAGTTTTGATGTAACCTCTATGCTCTAAACACACTGAACAATAAATAGCACAAAAGATACAGTGAGGCTCTGAAACAACATAAACATTTTCGTGGGCCAGAAATGGAACACAGGGAAGCTGTTATAGGTCTGAAACTGCAAGCCCACTGAGTTTTCCATCTGGTATTGATGTGTGGTAGTTTTAGTTCCTGTCAAGAATCAGAAGTACCCAAGTACTTTATGTGAGGCAGGAACCAGAGCCAGAATTACTACACAAAGCCAGGCATTTGACTAGAGTGCCTATCCCATTTGTGAAAGGCTGAATGCCTGCCCCATTTGTGAAAGGCTGAAAAAAGGAAAAAGCTATTCACTACCTGAGGCTGTGGGTTTTGGCTGATTACGACACATCCTCCTGGCCTGACTCAGTAATGAAGCCATCACTGAGTCAGTGATTGAATGTATATGTGTGATAGCTCCAATATCATCAGGAAACTGAAGGACTTAATGTCATTATGTGGCCTAATTGTGGATTAGTGGTTCAAAAATCCAAATGGGGGCAACTACAAAACCAGTAAATAGGAGAAGAAAAAAAGTAATTAAAAACCTTTCTTAAAACCTTTCTTACTCAAAATGAGCCTATAACCAAAATGCCAAAACTCATGAAGACATACTAATATCATAAAATCAGCAACTAAAACAAGCATTTTTTTCTGGATGAAGTTAATTTTATGGAGTAGTCCAACGAAGACTTTATTTTTAAAAATAAATTATTTATTTTTTTTTGACTAGGTAATACATGCACGTGGTACAAAATTCAAAGGTACAAAAGGGTAAACAGTGAAAAGTAAGTCTATCTCCCACCTCTGTCCCCTAGCCACCCAGTTCCCCTCCCCAGAGGCAACCACTATTACCAGTTTCTTGCTATCCTTTTTGAGATAGTCTATGCATGTACAAGCATACACACACACGTACATACATACACTTTTATATAAATGGTAGCATACTACACACACTATTATATACCTTGGCTTTTCCATTTAATAACATATTTAGAGATTATTCCATGTTAGTACCCATGGGATAATCTTATTCTTTTTAACGGCTGCATAGTATTCCATTGGTTGGGAGAAACTTTAAAGCATTTTTAGGATGCTCAAAGAAATAAGGAATACTTTCCATTTAAAGAGATGAAACGAGAATAGGTTAATCTGGAAAAAACCAACTACAACTCTTAGAAATTAAAAATGTAGTTAGTATATAAAAAACTCAAAAGAGGGGGTAAATATCCTTTACATCATTGATGAGAGAATTAATGGATTGGAAAATACTGAGTACTTAAAAGTCATAGAGGATTGAAAGACTCCAATGTATGTATGATAAGAATTATAGAAAAAGAACATGCAGAGATTGGTGGAGAACTAATTTTTGAAGGCACAAAGGGAGAGAATTTTTAGCATTAAAGAAGGTCCTGAATCCTTGAATCAAAAGTAAACTCTAAATGTCACATAGGTTAAAGATAAATGTACATTGAAACAGGTTGTAGTAAAACACTATAGAGTATCAAAGATAAAGACAAAATCTTAAAAACCACCAATGTTAGAGGCCAGAATACCTACAGAGGTATAATTCAAGGTTATAACAAAGTTTCTCAACAGTAACAGTTGATCTTAGGAGATTATGAAGTAGTATCTTAAATACTAAGGAAAAATAATGCTCCATGCCATATATCCAGGTAAACTGTCATTCCGTAATGAAGAATTTAATTAGGTGAAATGATAAATGTTATTAATAGCAGGAAGATAATAATTTAGGGTTTTTTGGGGGGTGTATTTAAAACAAAGTTAAAACTAAAAGTCTAGATTTATTTTCTCCTAGTCATATTAAAAAGAAAAAAAGTGTAATTAATTTTTAATGTTTTATTTACCCCAATAGGACTAAAACATTATCATTTCAACATGTAACTGTTATAACATTTATTAAGATATTTTACTTTCATTTTTGAATGTTGAATTTTCAAAATCCGGTGTTTAACACTTAGAGCACATCCCAATTCAGACTGGCCACATATCAAGGACTCAAAAGCCATATGTGGCTAATGGCTACCAAACTGGACAGTGTAGCTTTGGATCTAACAACAAATAGATTGTGTGTAATATGGTAAGGTTCATGTCAGGTTCGGAAAGAAGGCAGAAATATTAAGTAGCTTCAGACTCTCTCAGAACAATGTGTAATTAAATACACGCAATGAAAAAGAAACTTAAAGGTAACTAATATAGTAGACATATAGTGTATAGATTCCAAATCAGAAGTGGGGGGAAAGGGAATACTGAATACTTGATTGGTTTAGTAGAAAACAGGAAAGCTTTATAAAGTAAATAAACAAATAAAGCAAGCAAAGGGATGATAAGTAGAAAACAAGGAGTAGAAACAGTTCCAAATATGTGAGTAGTTCTCAGTAAGTATAAATGGATTGATCTTCTTTATTAAAAGACACAGAGACAGCAATTTGAATAAAAACCGAAATCATCTGTATACGTTTTATAGAGATAAAAAGTTGCCCAGAAATGGGAAAAGAAAACTAATATAGATTATCATTATTGGACAGATGGAAGATCAAAAGCCTAAATAAGGATAAAAATACAACAGTACATACTGATAAAAGGAAAAATCAACTCAGAGCATGTAATTAGGAACTTGTATACAATTTGAAATTTGTATATTTCAAAAAACAAAACAAAAAATCCCAAAACAAAACAGATAAGGAATTACAAGTCTATAATCATAGTGAGAGACTTTTAATACACTTCCATCCCAAACTAGTAAATCAAGTAGATAAAAATTAGGCTATAGAAGATTTTAAAATATCTTTTACAACCTTTCTACTAAAAATAGAAATGCAGAATAAGATGTATTTAAAATGTATTTTTTTAATGTATAATTGAGCTGATAAGAAAGAAAGGAATCCTAGGGCCAAAAATGAAATAGAAGCAGGAATGCAAATAAGTAAATTGGTATTCAGCTGGCTTTTACCCTGGAGGCATTTGCCAAATGCTAGTGAGTGACCTTGATCTTCTGTTTTGATATGTATAAGGAGTTACAGTGAACAGGAGAGTTAGTTTTATGGCCAGTTCAAGATGAGGAATCTAGTGGAAAACTCTGCATAAAGCTGGGACTCCCAAGGGCTATACTTACAGCATTAAGGTGATCTAGAAATATACCACGCTGTTCATGTAGAGTATGACCTTGGTAGAGGGATGTCAGAAAATCTCCTCAGTAAGTTTCTAACCACAAGTCCGCCTTCATGCATGTATGGGGCCCAAATTCACACTACTATATGGTCCAAAACCATGTAGCCAGCAATTTAAAATTGAATCCAAGTTGATAGTACTGCCAGGTACTTGCAAAAACAAATGCATATCTTCTCTCAGGGAGAAAACTCAGTATCATAAAGAAGTCAATTCTTTCCAAATTAGTCTATAAATTTAGTTCAGTTTTAATCAAAATACCAGCAGGGTTTTTTTTTTTTTTTTTTTTTTTTTTTT